CAGACAAACAGGAAGTGACCTCAGACAAATGGGAAGTGACCTCAGACAACAGGAAGTGACCTCAGACAACAGGAAGTGACCTCAGACAACAGGAAGTAACCTCAGACAAACAGGAAGTGACCTCAGACAAACAGGAAGTGACCTCAGACAAACAGGAAGTGACCTCAGACAACAGGAAGTGACCTCAGACAAACAGGAAGTGACCTCAGACAACAGGAAGTGACCTCAGACAAACAGGAAGTGACCTCAGACAAACAGGAAGTGACCTCAGACAAACAGGAAGTGACCTCAGACAAACAGGAAGTGAATCAGAGTCAGCTGGTGATGACCAGAAGCAAAGGAGTCTCCTCTGAAATGTCTGTTGGTGGGAGGAGTCTCCTTCAGGAACAACCAATCAGAACAAGCTGCAGACAGGTAAAAGTATCCCACAACATTTCTAACAGCTCATCTGAGGAGAGCAGAGATGAACATCTCCAGTTTTGTCTCATCAGACAGAATCTGCTGACTCCTGGACCCGGTGTCTCCTGTCCTCCAGGACCAGATCTGTGCTCCCTCTGTCCCTGTCCTGATTAGTCCTGGTCCCTGTCTGACTCCGCCTCCATCATGGAACCAGGAATGACTTAATGCTTTTAGAACGAGACCACAGCCACTGCTTCCAGCACAGAAGCTGCTGAAACTTTACTCCTGGACATTAATCACCTGAAAGCCTCTGATGCAGCAGACTGATGGAAAATATAAAGGTTGGTCTTTCCTGAAACTGTAACTTTGCTAAAAAACAAGAAGTTTTTCTTTGTTCAAAAGAGAGAAGAGAAGGATGTTCTCCTCTTCCTCATCAGGATCATGGTAATACCCACCATGCTTTGACAGTAATGAATGTTTCTGCAGAGAGTGGTCCAGCTCCAGTCTGAACAGTGAACAGGATTATATTCCCACTTCATCTAATATTGATGCCCTCTGGGCCAGGACCCTGATGTGCTCCTGTGAAACACTCTTAAATGGCTGAACAGCAAATAAGACTGATTGATTATTAACGTCACTGATTGATTATTAACATCACTGATTGATTATTAACGTCACTGATTGATTATTAACAGCACTGATTGATTATTAACATCACTGATTGATTATTAACATCACTAATTGAAGGTAACGAGCAGAAAGAAGGCGTTCAATCAAACAAGTCAGACATGAGCTGCTGCAACTTCTACAAGTCTGTTTATTCAATTCAGTTCAATTCAAAAATACTTTATTGATCCCAAAGGGAATAAGATACTTCTAATACTTAAAGTACTGTTTAAACATCATCCAGAACTTCAACTACCTTTAAATAATACTCAGAACTTTAAATACCTTTAAATAATACTCAGAACTTCAACTACCTTTAAATAATACTCAGAACTTTAAATACCTTTAAATAATACTCAGAACTTTAACTACCTTTAAATAATACTCAGAACTTTAACTACCTTTAAATAATACTCAGAACTTCAGGTTCT